TTTGACTTAAAATGGTGGTTCCTGTTGGGAAATTAAAAAAAAAAAAGAAATTTCAGTGTAAATTAACATGAGGTATGCCAGTTTAGATCTAAATATAAGTGTGTTTTTGAAGAAAATTATGCTCATTGAAAATGTTTATTAATCGAACTGAATTTGGCTAAGGTTTTTTAAAAGTAAATTTTGCACAGTTGTTTTGTCCATTAAGTGTAGAAAGGCATTTGCACTATGTGAGAAAAGAGCAAGCTGGTAGCAGTTTTGGAATAGTGATCTTTAAATCTTGAATTTCTTTGAATGTAAAACATTCAGAATTTAAAAATGTTTTGTAGTTTTCAGTGTTTTACACTTATTTTTTAAAATTTATTCTTGGCTGGGTGTGGTGGGTCACGCCTGTAATCCCAGCACTTTGGGAGGCTGAGATGGGTGGATCACCTGAGGTCAGGAGTTCGAGACCAGTCTGGCCAACCTGGTGAAACCCCATCTCTACTAAAAATACAAAAGTTAGCTGGGTGTTGTGGCGGGCATCTGTAATTCCAGCCACTTGAGAAGCTGAGTCAGGAGGATCACTTCAACCCTGGAGGCAGAGGTTGCAGTGAGCTGAGCTCATGCCACTGCATTCCAGCCTGGGCAACAAGAGTGAAACTCTGTCTCAAAAAATAAAATTATTTCTTAAGTAGTTTATTCTTTTTGATGTTATCGTAAATGGATTCAGAAATACAATTTTCATTGTATGTTAGTCTTGTATCCTATCACCTGCTGAATTCATTTATTCTAATAGTTTCTTTTTTTAGTGGGTTCCTTGCTTTTTGTTTTTGTTTGAATATATAAGAGCATGTCTGTGAGTAGAGCTAGGTTTGCTTCTTCCTTTCCAATCTAGATGTCTTTTATTTCACTTGTTGACTACTTGCCCTGGCTAGAACCTCCAGTACCATGTTGACTAGAAGTGGTAAAAGCAAACATCCTTCTCTTGTTTCCAATCTTTGGGGAAAGCATCCTGTTTTTCACCTTATGCACATTAACTGTGGGTTTTTTGTAGATGCCTTTATCAGGTTGAAGAAGTTCTCTTCTAAGTTTGTTAGGTGTTTTTATTATGAAAGGGTGTTAGATTTTTGTCAAGTGCTTTTTATACGTTTAGTGAGATGATCATGTGATAGTTTAGAGTTTTGTGTTTGCAGAAAGACCCAATTCACACAGGCTTAAAGTAAAAAGGGACATTTATTAGTTCATTTAATGGAAAAATTTAGGTGGTGTCTTACCTTCAGGAATTATGTGGGCTGATCATGGGGTTCAAACACTGTCATCCAGATTTTCTTCCTTCTCCCTCTGTCCCTCAAATCCTTCCAGTCCCATTTCCCTTTATGTGTGAATCATGTTTAGGTCCCATGTGATGGCAAACTGCTGCCAGCAGCTGCAGACTAACATTCTTAAGACCACAGAAAAAAGAGACAGTCTCTATTTCTTTATGCCTTTCCACCGTCCCAGCAAAAGTCTCAGAATTGTCTCTGGTTGGGCCACTTGTCCATTCTGGAACTATCATTGAGGATAGGGGATATGAAGCTTCATTTAGGCCTAAATCACATACCCACCCTGGAGCTGGTCACCTCCATCCAAACATCATGGATTAAGTGTGGAGAAGGTTTTCATTAATGGAAAAGTACTAGATAGATGCTGGGCTGCATCTATGCAAAAATAAATGTCAAGTATACTTTCTGTAGTGAAACAATCCAGGATAATACAAAGTGTATGAAATTGGTATTTAAATATTGTTTTTTTACCCCCTACCCCGTCCCTGTTAATGATAGCTAATACGAACTAAAACTCTTCTCTGCTCATTGAAGTTTCTTGTCTAATCCTTCCAAGCAGAGAATTTGGGTGATACCACATTGCATCTCTAATAGAAGATGGCATAAAAGAGGGTGGAGATTGGATAGGAAGATAGGGAGTAATACAGACCAACAGTTTTCATCTGCCCTTTAGTTACCTTGACTGTTTTATCATTTCTGAGATAACTGCAGATTAATTTAAAACAGAAACTGGATTAATGGTCTCTTCATCATCCATGCCTCTTTTCTCTACAATTAATCATTCCTGAGCCGTATCCCAGTTTCCCAGCACTGGATTTATAAGGAGCAGTGTGTCCCAGTACTAATCTGAACTCTCCATCACTCTGCATTTAAATTTTGTCTAATAGGTATGAGATTTCTGTGATCTCTTAATGTGTCTTTTGAAACTGAAAGAATTTTGTGCTTATAAGGAAAGTTTTTCTTGGTCACAGTTTGTGTAGTTACAAAGGACAGAATAAAATTGCCATATATTGAATGTCTCTTGTATAATTATAACCTCCCCTAGATAAATACAGAACCTGTTATAAGGAAGGTAATGTTTCAATGTTTCAGTTGCTATTATAGTTTGCTAGCTACCTTTTTTTTTTTTTTTTTTTTGGAGACAAGGTCTCACTCTCACCCAGGCTGGAGTGCAGTGGTATGATCATAGCTCACTGTAGCTTCAAACTCCTAGCCTCAGGCAATCCTCCTGTGTCAGCCTTCTGAGTAGCTAGGACTGTAGGTATATCACGATGCCCAGCTAATTTTTAAAATTTTTTGTAGAGACAGGGTCTCACTATGTTGACTAGGCTGGTTTTGAACTCCCAGCCTTAAGCAATCCTTCTGCCTCAGCTTCCCAAAGTGTTGGAATTACAGGAGTGAACCACGGAGCCCAGCCTTCCAGCTGCTTTCAAAATTTACTGCATCTTTGCTTTGGGTGGGATTGAAGGCACTAAATGTTGAAGGCACTTCAACATTTTTCAGATTCTAATAGGATAAAACCAGTGCATTTTTTCAGTTTTAGGACCCTTTTTTTTTTCACATTGCAACAACTCTGAAATCAAGAAGCATCTTAGAACCAGTGCTATGTTACTGTTTAATTGGTAGAGTTTTTTCTTTCTTGTGTCACGTAAAATAATGGTGTGTCTTAAAATTGATGATGTGATTGTTTATTCTGGTTGAATATGTAAGGATGTTTTGGAGGCTATTAATATTTGAATCAGTAGACCTAATAAAGTAGATTACCCTTCCTAATGTGGATGGGCCTTATCCAGTCAAAGGCTTGAACGGAACAACAAGATTAGGTAAGAGAATTCCTCCTGTGACTGCCTTGAGCTGGGACATTGGCCTTTTCCAGATTTCATTGGTTCTTAGGTTTTTGAGCCTGCTAGCTTAGAACTTAAGCATCAGCTCTCCTAGCTAGCTTGCTGACTGTAGATCTTGGGACTTCTCAGTCTCTAGTCACATGAGCTAGTTCCTTATACTCTCTTTACGTGCACACATACCCATCCACAAATCCTTCTAATATCTTTACACACATACCCTAACACCCTACTGGTTCTTTTTCTCTGGATAACACTGATGAATACAGATGGATCCTAAATTTTATAAAATATAGTAATTGAGGTTGTTTTAAATGCCTTCTACACCAAAGTCATGGTGAGTTTGGGGAGTGTTCACACCAACCAGCATCATGGGAGTTGAGCTGTGAGTGAAAAGATGCTGCTGTTCTATACCAGGATAGCTTTCTGGGAGTGAGGAGCCAAGGTTTGGAAGTTTTAGTGCTACAAGGGGCAGTATAGAAAGATACAGTTTTCTTCCCAGCTCTGCTGTGTACTACCTAATTAGGTCACTTAATCTACCTGGGATTGGTTTCCTTATCTATAAAATGTGCTGGTTGGACTATGTGATTTAAAGACCTCTTCCTTTTCTCAGGGTCTCAGAAATTGACTCTTCTGTTTCAGTCTGGGGAGGTAGCCTAAGATGTAAATAAACACTTGCAAAGGGCTGCTGGAAAAGCAGACCCTGATTAAGTAAATGATGAGCGAAATATCTTGCCTCCCTACTCAACTCCTTCATATAGATTTAGTGCTGACTGTTCTGATTTCTGATTACAGTGTAGTTCCCTGTTCCATAGTCTTGGGCTGGGGGTGCTCCAGGAAGTGCAGTAGCCTCCTATTAAAATGTAATAAAGTGATACCATTGGTGTCCTACCACTTGGTTTACGTGAGTCAAACCCCAAGGGCCCATCAGATGTCTGTAGCCTTCTCTGATTGCCTCAGCCATGGCAGAGTACCATGAGAGAAATGTATCACTAAAGGGCTATGGCATTTCAGAGAAAGAAAAGCACTGCATCTGTCTGAGGAGGCCTGACAAGACAAGGCTTGTGCAGAGATGGTCAGGGATGACATTTTATGAAGAAGATCCAGTTAGAGCAAAAGTCCAGAGACAGAAATACAACAAATAAGTGGTTTGACTAGAATATAGGGTGAGAGGACTAGATAAGAAGCCTATTTCTAGTATGTATGGTTTGTCCCCTGAAATTCTCCAATATTGAAGTGAATGTAGTTAAGTCTTGAATGCTTTAAGATTACCTCATTTCAATGGATCAGTACTAAATAGCAAGTCAAAGTTACTTTTCCTAAGGCTTGTAGGACTCTAGATGGGCTTCTTAGTTGGCACTGTGAATGACATTTATTGATAGGACCTTGTCATCTTTGTTGCCTTATTTCTAAGTTTTGGATAATTTTTCTTAATCAGAAGAGAGGAAGGCAAGCATGTGATAACAGTAATGTTCAGGACACACTAATTATTTGTCTTAGAAAAAGTAAAAATCACAGACTACTGGTACTGTATTAGGAAAAAAAAAGAATAAAAATCTCATTTATTTTTGTAAATCCTAGTACCTAGAGAGTCATCAATATACTTCTTGCTGATCCTTTCAGACTTCTATAATGATGTGACTAAAAAATATATACCTCTTTGGGCATTTTTAAGTTTACAAAAATGGGATAAAACATACAGGTCTTTCTAACAATTCTTTCTCTTAGACTAACCCTGGCAGTGTGAATCTCCCCTTGAAGCTAACCCAGTCTCCTATGTTAGGCCCTATTTCTGTGTCTTGGGAGGTACTTTATACACAGGCATTAATTGCAATGATACACTTGCTTTTGTTTTCAGGTTGGCAGCCTCGATGGTTCCTTCTCTGTGGGGGAATATTGTCCTATTATGATTCTCCTGAAGATGCCTGGAAAGGTTGCAAAGGGAGCATCCAAATGGCAGTGTGTGAAATTCAAGGTGAGAAATCAAGCAATTTTCAAATTTTATTTTTCTTTCTGCTTTCCCTGAAAAACAAAAAAGCCCCTGGCCTCTGCATACTCTCTGCTGCTTCCATAGTACAGACCAATGGACATACTGTTATGTCTCAAAAGGAAGCCTTGCAAATACAATCCAAAATGTAGCCAACTTTTATAAGGAGATTGGTTAAGAGGTGGTTAAAATAAATGAGAGCAACGTGCTTTACCACTCAACTAGCGCTCATTCCTTAGTCACCTGCTCACCTGGGACCGGTGGCTATTAGCAAGGCTTAAAAGTCTTTACTACAGCATCAAACACTTCTGTGTTTAAGTCAGTATGAACACACACACACACACACACCCTCTCTACCGAAACAAGCAAAAACCTAACAGACATTCAAATAGTCTTTACTTCTTGATTTTGTCTTGAGACATGCTGAGAAGGTGTGGCTCAGAAGACAAACAGATTAAATGGGAATTTAGGGAGTGGATGTGGGTGAAAGAGTGTGGTTTGCTTGTTCTTCTCCTAAAGGCCCCTGAGAAAATTCTCACACTTTTGGTCTGACTTGTCAAGGGAATTAGAAGATGGAAAAGATTGTATTTTTGATTGTTTCCCGATAAATCCAAGGAGATGAAAGACATACCCTTGTTTCCTGGCCTCAGAGCAGCATACTTAACACATACACCCACTGAAAGAGAGATTCCTTCTCTATTTTGATAAGACATCAATTTAACTGAAAAGTTAATTGGGTGATTCTTTTTTGGGTCATAGTCTTAGTGATGCCTTGGAGCCAATTGCAGGGTTTTCCCTCTTGATCAGCAGAGATGTCTAAGATGAGATAAGTAAACAGAACTTTGTGTGAATTAGGAGAGGTCACGAGGACTGGCATCCTCTTTGGAAAGAACCCTTCAATGACTGCTATCAGTTAAGCTCAAGAAGTTGGGTTAAGCTCAAGAAGACAGGGCTCTTCTAGGTCTCTGACCTCCCTCTGTCTTGCTCCCAGTTCATTCTGTAGATAATACACGCATGGACCTGATAATCCCCGGGGAACAGTATTTCTACCTGAAGGCCAGAAGTGTCGCTGAGAGACAGCGGTGGCTGGTAGCCCTGGGATCAGCCAAGGCTTGCCTGACTGACAGTAGGACCCAGAAGGAGAAAGGCAAGTATTGATTGTTCTTCACTGGCATCTCTGATCTCCCTTATTTGTTATCTTGCTTCTGACCACCTAGCCAGCTTTTTGTATCATGCAAATGCTGTGTATCTTGCTATAATTTAAACTAGGGTCCATACCTAACTCTTCTTTCTTGGCATAGCATAGTGCAGAGTGCAGGCTTTGGAGCCAAACACAGCTGGGTACACATGATGGCTTTGCAATTTATTGACTGTATAACCTTGGCATAGGTCACTTAACCTTTCTTACTCTCAGTTTCATCTTTTAAAAAGTGGTAATAGATCTTGCCTTAGGAGGATTGCCATGAGGATTAGTGATGATAAAATGGCTAAGTACCCAGTCTGTTACAAACTTGACCTTTGGTGAAGGGTAGTTGAGCCAGATAAGCCTTGGATCAGAATGTTTTCTGTAGTAACACCCTGCTCTTCCTTCCTTTTTTTTCTGGGGTGGGTTGGATGCTCAATTGTGAGGTTGCTGCTGTGTAACATTCATTCACTGGTTATCATTAAGTTCTCCAGAGAACCATGGCCTAACTTTCTCTTTGGACTGGGGTAAGAATACCAGGGCTTATTGCCTGGGTCCCAGTTGCTACCTTCCCTACCCCATGACCCTATATGTACCCTGAAGAGATGAGCTGGGGTGGGGTGTAATGGGAAAAAGTGTTCCAGGGAACATCTCTCATGACAGGTGTTGCAGATGTGCTTCACTCTTCAAGTAGACTCATAAATTGGTCTCTTCATTGATTGTTTTCGTGCTAAATTGGGAGCAAATTCTAGAAGCTGTTGGCTTTGACTCAGAGCAGATGGTAATATGCAGTTTTTTGTTTTTTGTTTTTTTTTTTAATGGAGAAGCAAACAGAAAAGTGGTAATAATTGTAGCTGAGCCCTCAATGCCAGGGTATCTGGAGAGTGTTGCTAATAATAATTGCGGGGTGCCATTAGCCTTGACAAGTCACCATACTGAACCAGTCCTCAGCTAAAATTATGAATGGTGTTCTTTGAGGTAATGGACACTATAGAATGCTTTTCCCAGGTAAGAGTAGAGCACTACATTAGTAGATAACAGCTATGACCCCATTTTATAGATAGGAAAAACTCTCCGGCAGAACTGAGGCCAAAACTCTGAACCCATAGCTCTGCTCCCAGTTCTGAGAGGAGTGAATCAGACAGTATATTGTCTCCTTCTTTGTATACTGGTGATTATTCAGTATGTTGGCTTAAGAAATAATGTATACTACTTTAAAAGACTGGAAATCTACTTTTTCTGTTTTTTCTTGTTCTTATGTCTTCACCTGTTACATTTGCAACCCACACTTTAAATATCTGACTTTGGGCATATGTTCTGTGTAGTAGCTTAACTAGTAAATCAGTTGTTTGTTCTGGTTACTACATTATCATCATTTTGTTATTTAGAGTTTGCTGAAAACACTGAAAACTTGAAAACCAAAATGTCAGAACTAAGACTCTACTGTGACCTCCTTGTTCAGCAAGTAGATAAAACAAAAGAAGTGACCACAACTGGTGTGTCCAATTCTGAGGTAAAATATTATTAATATACATGAATAATATCAAAGAAGTAACTACCAGAATAGCAATTCTGAGGTAAAATATTTTATTAATATTATTAATATACATAAAAAGCACCAGATGTTGTTTACAGGTAGTATTTACTCTCAGCTAATTTATGACTATCTTGGAATTTACTGTTTTATAGAGGAAAAAAGTAACAAAATACAAGGAGAAGCAATATGTACATTTCATCATATGGCAGTATATAGCTTTCCTTCCTGGAATGAATTGGGAATTAATTAATTGATAATATTTGGAACCTTTAACTTTAGTACTGTCATACTCAAATATGTTTCTCTCCAGTTTGTATTGTTTTGTTAATTACAGTCTTGCAAAGCTGTTTCTATAGCTATGGCTATTAAGATGCCAATTTAGTGTCTGTCATTGATGTGCATCTATGAGACTGAGACAGTATTTTACAGTCATAATTGTTCTTTGGAATAGACTAGTGCTTTCAAAGATGGAGACACAGCTTTTTTCTCTTCATTGTCAGCAAGACTTGCAATTTTTAGCATTTATTAATATAGTCATTATTCACTTATTTTAAAACACATATTAAGGGATTTCTCTGGTGTTAAGCTGTATATGAAATGGCTCATATTAACCAAGGACTCTGCTCTGCTTTCAAAGAAGTTTCCATCTGACAAATAATGCATCTGCAGATTATAATTAAACATTTTCGTTTATTTTTTTAGGTAGTAGTAGAACACTATGCTACTAGTAGTACGTGTGTTTTGAGTTTTTCTAAAAAAGGTGGTTTAACCCACTTGTATTCACTTTCTTTTGGGCACTCTTACTCATTCAGCAGCTGCCTATTATATATGAGATAGACTGCTAAGGGAGGGGAAGGGAAGATGAAGGATACCAAAAAAAAGCCATTTCAGTCCTCCTCTTGGGAAGTTTATAGTCTAGAGCAGTGACACTCAACCCGGAGCAATTGTGCCTCTTAGGAGACACTAGGAAATGCCCAGAGATACTTTCAGTGGTCATGACTGAGGGAGTTACAATTAATGTAATGTAAATCGAACCACTTTACTACCTAAGGCTTTCAGCAGTTCCCTCATTGCCTGTAGGTTAAAGTCAAATAGTACTAATAGTTACTTGATTAATAGATAAATTGGGGTTTTCGTTTATAACTGATATACATATTTGCCCAGTAGATGGATACATTATTATTATTTTGTGGACAACCTCTCAGGACATTCCACAATTGGAAATTTTTCTTTTTTGGCAAGGTAAAGGAGTCTTCCACTCTGGTTGTTTCGTAGGAGGGAATTGATGTGGGAACTTTGCTGAAATCAACCTGTAATACGTTTCTGAAGACCTTGGAAGAATGTATGCAGATTGCAAATGCAGCCTTCACCTCTGAGCTGCTCTACCGCACTCCACCAGGATCACCGCAGCTGGCCATGCTCAAGTCCAGCAAGGTAAAAGTCCTGCTCAATTTGGCTGCAACAATGCATCATTAAAAACTTATTCATTGCTTGTGTTAATAGTTCCTCCCACTCCTTTGTGCCATTTTGCAGTGCCAGGAATGCTCTTCATCTCTCTTTCCTGGATTAGCTCATATTCTTCCTCAAAGACTTAGTCTCTTCTTCCCTGAATCCCTAGATTGGGCTAAGAGCCTCTCTTTTATATGTTCATATTTTATTTATATTCCTTGTTTTAGATTGAAATGATTTTTAGGGCAAGAACTCCATAGTGTCTACCTTTATACCTCTAGTATTTGATATAATACTGTGTCATAGTTTGCAACTTACTAATGTTTAATGAGCATAATTAAAATTACAAAGAAAGCTAATCACTGAGTTTTACTGTGATAATAGGTCTGTCAAAAGATCATCTTCCTTTTCCGTAGAAATTTATTAGAATAAATAAGAAGGACTGGTTGGAATCATGACTCCCTTTTGGGAAGACCTAAAATTGTTTCTGTTTAGTGGGGCTAGTGTATATTATGGTCATATGGTCGTATTTACTGTTTTCTATGTAATAAGATCCTAAATATGCTCTGTTCAAAATTTAACATGAGAACTTTCCTTTCTTCTTTTAAAGATGAAACATCCTATTATACCAATTCATAATTCACTGGAAAGGTACAGTAGCTTTTTTTTCTTCTTGCTAAAAATTAAAAAAGGATGTTGTTATCTCTTGTTTAAAAAAATGATACTTTGATCATATAATGGTTTTCCTCAGGATTTGAAATAATATGGAAGTAAACAGTATCTGACTTTCCTCTTTTAGGTGAGCCTGAATTAACACAGAACAGACTTTTTATTTAGCACTAATAGGGAAGATGTTTGCGTTTTCCCTAAGATGGATCTGACCCATCACATCTAGTAACTTTTAATCTCTCTAGGGTGTCCTGAAGATTGAAACTTCTCTTGTAGAGGAGCCGAGCATTGTTTTAAGTGTGCTTTTATCTAAAAATGATAGTAGTGCTATTTTGTTGAGTTTAAAAACAAAAATCTGAGGTAGAGTTGCAGGTTGAAAAATAACCTAGTATCAAAATCTAAACTATTTCTGTTCCCCTAAATGCTCCTTCAGCTTTTGGTAATTTAACCCATGGAAGTGGGTTAAATTCCATGTGTTAAATTACTGTAGCCTCAACCTCCTGGGCTCAAGCAATCCTTACCTCAGCCACCTGAGTAGTTGAAATAATGGGTACATGCCACCAAGCCTGGCCAATTTTTGTATTTTTTTTAGAGACAGAGTTTCACCATGTTGCCCAGGCTGGTCTTGAACTCTTGAGCTCAAGCAATCCACCTGCCTTGGTCTTCCCAAGTGTTGGTATTACAGGCCTGAGCCACTGTGCCCGGCCTCAAATTATTTAATAGTTTATCTCTTTATATACTATTGTTTACTTTTTTATTACAAGGATTATTCCCAATTTAGTTATTTCCAGTTTTCTCCTGTTCTAAATATTTCTACTAGAAGTATATTTGTAGATTTTTTTGTTGTTGTTGAGGTCTTTACCTCTATATACTCCTACATTTTGAATTACTAGGTTGAAATATGGTATTTTTTTTTAGAAAATAGCAAATATTTTTTCTGGAGTTACTATGTAGCTTGGACCCTTCCTCCTTATTTTTGTTAGAAGAAAATATTTTTGTTCTAATTTGGCTAGGTATAATCACCTAATAATAATAAGATACCGTGATTGTTCCTTTAACCAGTAGAATGAGCTGTTCTACTTGCATGTTAGTTGGCTTTTTCTGTTACCTTAATATGCTGACAGTTCCCTCAGGATGTAATGTTATCCTTCTGAGTCTTTTCTGTCAGACATACTTTATTTATTTATTTTTTTATTATTTTAATTTTTGGGGACGGAGTCTTGCTCTGTCACCAGGCTGGAGTGCAGTGGCTCAATCTTGGCTCACTGCAACCTCTGCCTCCTGGGTTCAAGCGATTCTTCCGCCTCAGCCTCCCAAGTAGCTGGAACCACAGGTGCGTGCCACCACACTTGGCTAATTTTTGTATTTTTAGTAGAGACAGGGTTTCACCATGTTGGCCAGGATGGTCTCAATCTCTTGACCTTGTGAGCCACCGTGCCCGACCTCTTAGACATACTTTATACGGAGTACTTTCCCTGGCTGGGCATGGTGGCTTACGTCTGTAATCCCAGCACTTTGGGAGGCCAAGGTGGGTGGATCACCTGAGGGTCAGGAGTTCAAGACCAGCCTAGCCAACCTGGTGAAACCTCATCTCTATTAAAAATACAAAACTTATCTGGGCGTGGTAGTGGGCACCTGGGCAGGAGAATCACTTGAACTCAGGAGGCGGAGGTTGCAGTGAGCCTAGATCACACCATTGTACTCCAGCCTCGGCAACAGAGCGAGACTCCATCTCAAAAAAAAAAACCAAACAAAAAGAGGAGTACTCTCCCATGACCACAGCATGTGGCTTCTAGACAGTTACTGGCTGGGCAGACACAGGGAAATGGCCAGTGATGTAAAGAGAGAGATGATGCCTCCCAGGGAGAAGTTGAGGAAAGTAAAGTATTCAAAGTGGCACCTGGAGAAAGCTGATTGAGAACCAAAGAGCTGTCAGTGACTATTTCCTGATGCTGCTGGGGAGCTGGAAGATTGGGACTGTTGAGGGTAGTAGGAAAGCCATAAATGGCTCTTTTATTTCTAAATTGCAGCCTTGAGGCTGGCCTGCTCCCATCACAGGCCTTGGAGGCAGGAGACTGGGAGGTTTGGCTTGATTTATCAATTCTTTCAGAGGATGTTAAAAGGATAACATTTACCTGGGCAGTCAATTTATGACCAGGCTGGGGAGGTGGCTCATGCCTGTAATCCCAGCACTTTAGAAAGCTGAGGTATTAGGATTGCCTGAGGCCAAGTGGTCAAGACCAACCTGGGCAACATAGTGAGACCCCCATCACTACAAAAAATCAGAAATTCGTTGGGCATGGTGGCAGGCACCTGCAGTCCCAGCTACTCAAGCTGGAGTGTTAGGCTCAAATAGGAGGATCGCTGAAGCCCAGGAGATTGAGGCTGCCGTGAGCTGTGATTGTGCCACTGTACTACAGCCTGGGTGACTGAGGGGAGACCCTGTCTCAAAAAAAAAAAGAAATTGTGACCAAATAACTGCACTTTCTGACTTTTTTTTCCTTTTAAAAAAATTGCAGGCAAATGGAGTTGAGCAGTTGTGAAAATGGATCTTTAAATATGGAAATAAATAGTGATGAAGAAATCCTCATGAAAAATAAGAATTCCTTATATTTGAAATCTGCAGAGATAGACTGCAGCATATCAAGTGAGGAAAATACAGATGATAATATAACAGGTAAAAACAAAAGTAAAGTCTGAAGCACACCAATTTTAGATGATAGAAAATTTGGGAATTTGATTTATATCCATGATAGGGATTCACCTCAAGATCATGTAGTAGCGTCTCCTAAGGAGGATATTGGCTGGGTAAGATAGGTCATGTGACTGAAAAACATTCTTTCATCCAGTCTGACCTGGTGTTGAGAAGGCAGAGTGAAGAGGAAGATTCCTGCCCATTGTTCTAGGCTACATTCATGGGCTACAGTGAGCAACAGCTATGCATGCTGGCCTTTTAGAGGGTAGGAGTACTTCACTGGCCTTCAACCCTGTATCTTAAAAGTCCTTTGAACTTAGACTATGCTGTGAGACTTAACAGTCTGTAAAATTACAACAGTTCAGTTTTTCATCCTCCTGGGTTCTTTTGGTCCTGAGGATGTCAGAATTCACTGGTCACCGTGAGGTTTCTACCCAGTCTTCACTGTGTTTATCAAGTCAAAGTCCCACATTTCAGGTATTGGGTCTGTAGTTCAAATATGCTAATCTCTTAACACTAATCACTGAAATTTACTTCAGATCAAAGACAACTATATTAGAGCTTTTAATTGTGTTATAAGTACTTAATAATTTGAAAATGAAATTAAAATTTTCTCCTCATCTACCTTGAAATAGACCTTGTTTTTTCCAGATGAATTGAGGAGCAGTAGGGAGTTGGGGGTAGGAGCTGTGTTTTCTTAGCTGTTAATCTGAGAGAGAGACAATCCATACATCATTGGAGTCTTATCTCTTGGGTAAAGAATAAAGACAGGAGAAAATGTCTGTCAAAATAGTGCAGTCATGTATTTGCTCCTATAGTTTCACTTCTAGGAATTGCTCTTCAGCAAATAGTCAGATTTAAGGATGAAGACCTATTGATTTAAGGATGTTCTTTGTGGCATTACAGTCAGTTCTCATTATTTGCAGTAATTACGTTTTATTGAGTCATCATAAACGCTGAATTAGCAAATACTAAACTGTTGTTCCTGGGGGAAATACAGGGTTAGGTTCCTTGAAGCCTCTGGTCACGAAATTTTTGTTTACCAATCAATGTATAACCTTGTTTTATGTGTGTTTTTGTTTAAAGACACTTTAATATGTATTGTTGATTCATTAATACTGAACTCATGGCAAACAGCACTATTACTCATGCTTGAATGAAGCTTATATAACACACATCTTTTGTCTAAAAGGCACATCACAGCCATTTTGTGGGTAGGAACACTCGATGGTACTATACTTGGGAGCCCTTTTAAACAGCAAAAACAACAAAATGCACAAACATGCATAAAATGTGGCACTAAGTAAGGACATTTGTCTATGTATGAGTGTAGAAACAAGAAGGCAGGACATCTCATTGCTCTACCTCAGCTAAGAATATGAGGAATATGTGTGTCGAGCCATTTTTCACCACTCTGCACATGACTGCAAATGACTGCAGAGGTGCCACTAGTATTGATTTTCAGTTACAAACTAAATTTTAGCAAGTAGACAGATTCACAAATATGTATAGAATGTGCTAATTAAATGAGTAGTGATTGTATTTATAATTGTAAAATTTTGGAAGCCACCTAAATGCCCCTCATGGGAATGGTGCACTATAACATGGTCATTAAAATCATGATTTTGAAGAGTTGAATGATAATGAAAATATTCATGATATGTTGTTTAGTGAAAGCAAGCAGGATACAAACATACACGTTTGAAGCTGTGTTTGTATATGTAGATGTATGTATGTGTGTATGTGAACAGTGTTTCATGAATTTTTATTTCTGTGTATTTTTCTGTTTTAGAAAGTTTTAACAAAGACTGAATTTTTATAATAGATTAGTAATAGATATTTTCTACTCTGCAGTCCAGGGTGAAATAATGAAGGAAGTTGGAGTGGAAAACCCAGAAAACCATGACAATAATTTGACTCAGTCTGGTTCAGACTCCTCAAGTTGCTCTCCAGAATCCCTCTGGGAAGAAAGCAAAGAAGTTATCCCAACTTTCTTTAGTACCATGAACACAAGGTATTTTAGACTTTCTAATATTACTGATGTTTGGATACTAGCTTCCATTCTGGAAAATCAGTCATGGTGTTCCTTTCAGGTGATGGCGTATTCTAAGAGAATAGAGAGTATAGTATACCAAGTACCTGCTTTACTCTTTACTTTTTCTTAACAGTGAATAAGAAGGAAATGATTGTCGGGTGTACTCTGAACAAATTTTAGCTTGCTTTGGTGGATTATCTCTAGAAAATTATTTTATGAGACCATATTAGAAAAACAGTCATTGGAGCATATGAGTCAAATGATTTGCCCTAGAGAGGGGATAGCTGTTTCTTTGACTACCATTGAATTGCAGAGTGCTGATACTGTATTTTTAATCTTTTCTCCTCCATATCACCAAATTATGTAGCTTTAGTGACATTGAACTTCTGGAAGACAGTGGCATTCCCACAGAAGCATTCTTGGCATCATGTTATGCTGTGGTTCCAGTATTAGGTAAGATTCCTGCAGTTGCCTTACATTCATTCATCTCTAGAATCTGTCTCACTGCAGTTGTTTTGCAGGATAAATACCCTGAACTATGTGTGCAGTGAGATGACCCTTCTTAGCTACTTGTTCAGATCACCAGCCACATACAATTAAAACTACATGACCTTAAGCATTATTGCATATTCCCATTTCATTTCTAATTATGATTAAATATTGATCTCAGAGTAGTATAATTTTAAAAGGGAATTTTGCTTTCTAGAAACTATACATAAAAGTAAAACAAGTAGTTGAGGAATAGGCCTTCATATATTGGCACTGTAAAAAAATGTGTTTTACCAGTTAAAAGGTTTTTTGTTTGTTTGTTTGTTTTTTGAGACAGTGTCTTGCTTTGTTGCCCGGGCTGGAGTGCAGTGGCATGATCTCCGTTCACTGCAACCCTCACCTCCCAGGCTCAAGCAATCCTTCCACCTCAGCCTTCTGGGTAGCTGGACTATATGTGCATGCCCAGCTTATTTTTGTATTTTTTGTAGAGATGGGTTTTGCCATGTCACCCATACTGGTCTGTAATACCTCGGCTCAAGTGATCCTTCCCTTCCAAAATGCTGGGATTACAGGCATGAGCTACCGCACCTGGCCAAAACATATTTTCAAAGATTTTAAAAGTTATTCTCTCTCTCTCTCCCCATCATATAATATATATTTATATTTATATATATTTATGTTATATGTAAATATAAATTTACATGTCATATATAAATACATATTTATATGTGTTATGGCTGGGTGTGGTGGTTCACGCCTATAATTCCAGCACTTTGGGAGGCTGAGGTGAGTGGATCACCTGAGGTCAGGAGTTTGAGACCAGCCTAGCCAACATGGTGAAATCCCATCTCTACTAAAAATACGAAAATTATCTGGGCATGGTGGTTCATACCTGTAGTCCCAACTACTCTGGAGCCTGAAGCAGGAGAATCTCTTGAACCTGGGAGGTGGAGGTTGCAGAGAGCTGAGATTGCACCACTGTACTCCAGCTTGGATGACAGCCGGTCTCAAAAAAAAAAAGTGTGTGTGTGTGTGTACACACACATATATATATATACACACACACATACATACACACATACACACACGCACATATTATATATGTTTATTTAGATCAAATTCAGTTTTACTTGTATAAAGTCACTAATTCCAAGGATGGCTAATGTGTTGAAATTTGCTTTATGCCCCATTTAACTATACATCTCTCTTAAAAATTGAGGTATAACTTGCATAGGACTTAAATGTTATGATTCAGTGAATTTTGACAAATGCACCTACCTCTGTAATCCATATTCTTACCAAGAAATAGCATGTTTTCATCATCCTGGAATGATCCCTGTGTCACTTAGCCTGAAATAACCATTTTATTGATTTCTGTCACCATAGGTTAGTTTTGCCTATTCTAAAACTTGGTATAACTGGAATATTATAACTTTTGCATCTGGCTTTTTTCATACAGTATGTTTTTGAGATTCATCCTTGTCTGTATCAGTAGTTCATTCCTTTTTATTGCTAAGTAGTATTCCATTAAATGAATGTACCACAATTATTTATTCACTCTCTTATTGATGGACTTTGGGCAGTTTGTAGTTTGGGACTTTTTTTTTTTTCCTTTTTGAGACAGAGTCTCACTCGATCACCTAGGCTGGAGTGCAGTAGCACTTGGGAGGGTGATGCAGGAGAATCACTTGAGCTCAGGATCTCAAGGCTGCAGTGAACCATCATTGCACCACTGCATTCCATCCTAGGTGACAGAGCAAGACCCTGTCTCAAAAACAAAAACATTGAATTTTCCAATCTATGAGCATGCTATATCTCTCTATGTCATTTTAACTTTCTCTCAAGAATGTTTTATGTAGTTTTTAGTGTACAACCATCAGACATCTTTTGTTAGGAATAAATTTTAGAATTTTATTTTATTTTTTTATTTTTATTTTTATTTATTTTTTTTTTGAGACGGAGTTTCGCTCTTGTTACCCAGGCTGGAGTGCAATGGCGCGATCTCGGCTCACCACAACCTCCGCCTCCTGGGTTCAGGCAATTCTCCTGCCTCAGCCTCCTGAGTAGCTGGGATTACAGGCATGTGCCACCATGCCCAGCTAATTTTTTGTATTTTTAGTAGAGACAGGGTTTCACCATTGCACTCCAGCCTGGCAACAGAGCGAGACTCTTGTCTCAAAAAAAAAAAAAAAAGAAAAGAAAAAGAAAAAAAGAATTATTAATGAGTCTGGGTATGGTGGTTCATGCCTGTAATCCCGCCACTTTGGGAGGCTGATGTGGGCAGATCGCTTGAGGTCAGGAGTTCAAGACCAGCCTGGCCAACATGGTGAAGCCTCATCTCTACTAAAAATACAAAACTTAGCTCGGTGTGGTAGTAGGTACCTGTAATCTCAGCTACTTAGGAGACTGAAGCAAGAGAATCGTTTGAACCCGGGAGGTAGAGGTTGCAGTGAGCCAAGATCACACTGCTGCACTCCAGCCTGGGGACGGAGCAAGATACTCCTACTCTGTCTCAAAAAAAAAAAAAAAGAATTATTAATGAGATGTTTTGCAATCTCTTTTTGGTACTAAGTCTTCCAAATCTGGTATGTATTTTACACTTACGGTACATTTTGGTTAGTGCTAGCCACACTGCAAGTACTAACTAACCACATATCTAGTGGCTACTATATTGGACAGTGCAGCCTTAAGGATTACTATATGTATCCTAAACTTAGAAGATTATCTTCATCCTAGCTGCCACTTAGGGCCTCATTATAACTTACTTTGGAGTACAGTAATAGAAAAAGATGATAACAGTATCCTGGAAGATTTGGAGGTTATGTTTGGAAAATTATTTGGAAGTAAAAATTAAAGTTGTTGGGAATCTACTACATTTATTATTACTATAAAAATAATTCCACTTAAAAAATTGATTTTTCAGAAATATTTTTGATCTTTTCTTTAGATAAACTTGGTCCTACAGTGTTTGCTCCTGTTAAGATGGATCTTGTTGGAAATATTAAGGTGAGCGTTCTGGCTTGTCTCTATGGAAACTTAAAAGAAAATGTTTTCAATATTTTTGTGCTTAGTAAGAATAAATCAAAAAGTGAAAAATGTATCACTGTTCTGTAAGAGAGCAAGTGTCTTTCTTGTCACATTGTGAATGCTCAGTAAGGGAATTACTAAGCCTTTATTATATGCTAGAGGTAGTCTTTTTGGGGAGTTAAAAGATTCATTTTGAAAAAGAAACCAGGATTGCCTTTTCATGTGCACAGTGTAGATCACTAGGGTTTCACTCTAATGTCCACATTGATTCTGTGCTTTTTTAGGTTTAAATGATGACAAGTTATATTTTTCTAAAAGATAGGTTATATAGTGAAAATACCTGTCAGTGGTCTGGGACTCAAAAGGTCCAACTTCCAGGGGTAGTTATGGGACCATCAACAACTCACCAAATCTCTCTGAGCCTCTTTCTTCCAGATAAAACAAGGGATGGGTCCCCTTTTAAATGCAGATTAAATGTTACCTTCTTGAGGATACAATACCCAATAAAAATCTGTCTTTTTTGTCATTGGATGCTAGTCTTTGAGGAAGCACTATTAGGAATTCCTGTAGATATACCTTTCTTTATTGTATTTGGGTGGAATAGTTGCATGTAGTCTCATTAGAGCAAATATTTGTTGAGTTTTATACTCAGTGAAAAGTATCTGCCAAAGACAGCCATGAGAGAAGTTCTGGGGCAGAAAAAAGAACTTAAAGAACAAAACTTTAGGCTGGGGTGGTGGCTCATGCCTGTAATCCCAGCACTTTGGGAGGCCGAGGCAAGTGAATCACGAGGTCAGGAGTTCGAGACCAGCCTGGCCAATATGGTGAAACCCCATGTCTACTAAAAATACAAAAATTAGCTGGGCTTGGTGGCGTGCACCTGTAGCCCCAGCTACTCGGGAGGCTCAGGCAGAAGACTCGCTTGAACCTGGAAGGTAGAGGTTGCCGTGAGCCGAGATCACACCACTGCCCTCCAGCCTGGGCAACAAAACAAAACAAAAGAACAAAACTTTAAACTCCGAGACTATTTAATTCCAATTTAAGCTACATAGACTTCTCAAAAAAATATATATATATTATCTTGAAAACATAAGGAACAAGGTAATAGAAGCTTAATTTATTTTGATTTCTTAGAGGCCTGCTTGCCAAACTTACAAGTTTCAGTACTATACTGAGTTGCTTGATAACTTCAGCATTTTTAACTTAGGTTATTTCTCTGCTTTCCCTCCAGAAAGTAAATCAGAAGTATATAACCAACAAAGAAGAGTTTACCACTCTCCAGAAGATAGTGCTGCACGAAGTGGAGGCCGATGTAGCCCAGGTTAGGAACTCGGCGACTGAAGCCCTCTTGTGGCTGAAGAGGTGAGGCAGTTGGGATGGGACCGCAGTTAAAATCTAGCTCAGTTGAAATGTTACCAGCAAAAAAAGAAAAATTACACAAAGGAGACTACTTCTGAGTGAAGGATCTAGTTGAATTGTGTATCCTTTTCTAGAAGGCCTAATGAATAATACCACCTTATTTTTTTTTTTTTGCCTCCCTCTTGATGGTGATAAATATTGTTAATATTAATAAGTATATACAAGATAGGAATCTTAAAGGCATTAAAGTCAACTGGTTTCTCTTTAAAATCAATGGCTCTCCAACTTCAGTGGCATCTGAATCATCTGGAGGATTTCTTAAAAACACTAGATTCAGAACCAGTTTCTGATTCAGTAACTATGGGGTGGGGCTCCAGAATTTGCATTTCTAGCAAATTCCCAGGTGATGCTAAAGCCATTAGTCCTGGGACACATTTTGAAAACCACTTCTTTAGGTATATCAGATGGGATGGAGGATGAGCTCCATAGCAAGCTAAAGGGAAGTGAAGGGAAGAAGTTCAGGAAGGACTGCCATATGATTTGACCTCTTCACTGCTGTGCCTAAGATGTTCGTGAAATGGAAGCTGTTATCTGCCATTTATTTATACCCATTCAACATAAGCGAACTTTGAAAATAATATTTCTTCCTTTATTTTGTTTTAGAGGTCTCAAATTTCTGAAGGGATTTTTGACAGAAGTGAAAAATGGGGAAAAGGATATCCAGACAGCCCTGAGTAAGTGTTCTTTACTAAAGTTTTGTTGGATGAATCAATAGAATGTGGAATGGAGACCCCTAGAGGAGGAGACAGGGTATAGGGAATATTTCTGCTTTTCAGGATTCGATTTTGCTTCTTTCTTATTTCATTATTATTCATTACTTCCTATAGGCTTTGTTTAAAAAAGACCTATGAGACAGTGACCTGGTAATCTAGATGTAACTTATTAAAAATCAGTATATTTTAAAGAAGTGCTGATAAATAAAAAGCCATCTCTTAATCATAATGGGAAGACCTAATATTATCAAGAGATTAGTTTTTCTAAACCTTCAAATGTATCGTAGTCCATGAAAATCAGTATTCAAAGTAAAACTTGAAGACCATAACAGTGGGTTGATGTGGGGGAATCCCAGGGATTTGTTTTGGAGTGGGATTAAAGGCTTTCATCATCCTGTACTCCTCAAATATATAGTGCTCTGCACATTCCAGTTTGTAGACATAGAGCCAAAATGGGAAGAAGGGCTTGGTCAAAGGAGAGCATCTTATATCTCCAGCACCTTAATGTAGTGACTGCAACACTGTAGGAGCTTAATAAACATTGGACAGGTAGGTAGATGGATGGATGTGTGGATAGAGGCATTTATCAGACCGGTTTTGGAAAATGTTGAGATTTGGGAGCATCCTCACAGTGCTTCTAATGGAGCAGCTGAACTCTCACCATTGATCTGTAGGAAGTTCTTCTAGTATGGACCATGAGGCATGTGTGGAGGAAAAAAATGAACTGTGATATAAATTAATTACGTGCTTCTGGTTTGAGAGGGAGCTAGTGTTCTCTGTGGGTCTTTTTCTTCAGTGTCACAGTTGGGTTCTACCTCCTTCCATTAGTCCTCCCTCTGGGCCGTGAGTCCTTAAGAATTCTGCCCCCACATGGTTTCCCCAGTCTGCCCCATCTAGAAACTGCTGATCTGCCATAAAAATGAGAGCTGACATTTCTATAGCAGTTTGTGAAGAATTTAGACTTCTTTTTTTTTTTTTTTTTTTTTT